GTCACAGATAACCAAGAGTATGTCCTGTTTTTGTATCTAGCTCCAAGACAGGGTCTCTGGGTCATGTAGATCCCTCTCTCTAAGGTCTAGATGAGGCACCCATCGGACTATCTTGTAGATGTAAGCACTCCCAACATACACCACCGCGTTCTTGTACACAAGAGTGCAAATAGGATACCTCAATAGAAATTCCCGTTTGGAAATGGAAAGGGGACCAGCACATGACGTCGGCAGTCCTTTGCCTATTCCAAGTTCTGTTGGACAAGAACAGCAGGGACTGGCGCACTAGCAGTGACTGGGGTCCTTCCCCAGCCTCTGACACCCTGGTTCTGCTAAGAGGATCCCCTCTGCCTACTGTCCTCCACTGCCACATCTGAGGAGGGACCCTGGGAAGATCCTTTAGTGACCCACTTCCAGATGGCGTGGGATGGGGAACAGGACTTTCCTTAGGGCTGAGCGATCCCCGGCCCTTGTTAGCCATGCTGAAATTTTCCTGGCAGAATAACTCCCTCGGAAACTCAGTGCTTATTGCTCTTTCAGTCAATTTGCATCCAGTCGTTTCATGGGACATTAGCCAAAGCAATGGATATCTTCCTTAATCTAGACTCCAGCCAGGGAGGTGTTTCTTAGCAGCAGCCTGAGGACCCTACCCTCCTTCTCAGCCTAATGGCCTCTGCGGTATCTTCTGCACCCGGGAAATTCAGAAGTAGCCTGGAATGGGAAGCTCAGCGGATGTGCCGCCTGCCCTGCAGCCCGGGGGATAATTAATATTTTACTCAGTCAGTGATTCGTGCGCTCACACCACCTCTCCTTCCACAGTCTATGATTAGAAGACTTTTGAAAACTGTTATTGATGCCCTGGCCGGTTTGGCTCAGCGGTTAGAGGGTCGGCCCGCAGACTGAAGAGTCACAGGTTGATTCCAGTCAAGGGCACGTGCCTCGGTTGCGGTTGGTCCCCAGCCCTGGTTGTGGTGGTGCGGGTGGCAGCCAGTCGATGTGTCCCTCTCACATCGATCTTTCTCTCTCTCTCCCTCCTTCCCACCCAATCTGACTATAAATAGAAAAATATCCTCGGATGAGGATTTAAAAAATTTTTTTAATGTTATTGGCATATAAAGTATAGAAATCATACATCTCCAGCCCAGTGAATTATCAGAGAGTGAGCGCAGCAGCGGAACCATCACCAGGTCAAGAACCAGACCACCACCGGGACCCTTAGAGCCCACCGTGCCCCTCCCAATCACTACCCCACTTCCCTCCCCCCAAGGTCTCCACTGGCCTGAGTTCTAACATGATACATTCGTTTTGCCTGAATCTGAAGTTTACATGAATGGAACCCTTAGGTATGTATTCTTTCATGTCAAGCTCTTTTCACTCAGAATTGTATCAATGAGACTCATTCGTGTTGCCGACAGCAGCAATTGTCTGTTCGTGTTCATTGGTCTTTGTGTTCGTTGCCACTACACAATGCATTGACTCACTCGCTGTTGAGAGGCATTGCAGCTTTTCCAGTTTGGGGCTATGACAATGTTGCTAAGAATACTTTTCGTAAGTGTGTTTTGGTGCACATACGTACACATATATCTAGGAGTGGAATTGCTTGGTAGTTAGGCTATGCACACATTCGACTTTCATAGACAATACCACGGTGTTGGCCAAAGCACCTGTTTACACTGTCACCGGAAGATGAGGTTGTGACGGCTGCACGTCTTCATCAGCACTGGGGTGGTCAGTCTCTTTTTATTTCCGCTATTCTGGTGGCTCTAGAGCGGGATCTCCTGGCTGTTTTCACTGCATTTCTCTGATGACAAACGAGGTTGAACATTTTCCCATGTTTATTGATCCGCCTGTGGATCAATTCTGCCCACTTTTCTATTGGATTGGCTATCTTTTCTTATTTATTTATTTATGGGAGTTCCAGACACAAGCACTTGGTCCACCGTATGTGCACCGAGGCCTATTCCCATCCTTGCATTTTCCCTCTGCGGCGATGTCTCTGATGACCCTGAGGGGAATGGCCACCAGGCTCTGGCTCCGTCCTGGTTTTAGTCTTATCTTTTGCTCTGTTCCAGGTCTCCTTGATTTTGTTGGAACAAACTTCATCACAGCACAGAAAACTCCCCCCATCCAACGCTGCAAGGCATCGTGATACCTGGCTCTCAGCCATCGAAGACAGAAAGGACCTTTTTAAAAGACATTTTCTTCTTTTTCTATTTCCAGAGAGATCAGCTTTGGGAGGAGCTTGTCTCTTTCTCACAGAAACTCACTGAGAACTTCAAGAAGTAGCCAGCGCATTCCACAGCCCGAAAGGTCCTACCAAGCACTTTAACGTCCAGTTTCACATGGCACCTGCCCTGAGCCCCCGAAAGAACAGGCCACAACTTACCCTGCCGCTCTGTTAGAGCAGAGCAAAGACTGGGAGCTCCTCAGCCAGGGGCAGAAAGATCCTCACTGCCTTCCATCCTACCTCAGATGGGACATTTTACAGTCTAGCACTTGTAACACCCCACTGCTAGGTAGTGATACCTAATAAGAATCTTCATGATTCAAACTAAATTTTATCTTTTTAAAAAATGTTTAAGTGGGGAGGGCAAATTGACTAGTTCACGTAACTGAAGCGTCTGTGTAATCTGTCAGAGCTTCATACAGGGGCTCGGGCAATTTTGTTTGGACCAGTTTGGTCCCTGTGTGTAGTCGGATTCATTCACTCACTCAACAAACATTTACTTGGTACATAGGTGCCCAGAAATGTACTAAGTGCAGAGATACAAAGATTTTAAAATATAGGGCGGCCCGGCCAGTGTGACTCAGTGGTTGAGCGTTGACCCATGCACCAAGAGGTCGCCGGTTCAATTCCTAGTCAGGGCACATGCCCAGGTTGTGGGCCTGATCCCCACTGGGGGGCATGCAGGAGGTGGCTCATCGATGTTTCTATCTCTCTCTCCCTCTCACTTCCTCTCTCTATAAAATCAATAAAGAAAAAAATTTTTTTTAATAAAAATATAGGGTACCTGACTTTGGGAAGCTTTTATAGATGCTACACTAATAAATACATTATAATATGGGGGTGTGAACACTACTAGGAACAAGACACACAGAGACTGGGCCTCCGGGAGCGTAGCGGCGAGGCTCTGAGCCCAGCTTGCGGGGAGAGCGTCAGCAAAGGCTTCTCAGGGGAAATGACCTGAGCTGAGTCTTGTAGAATAATCTGAAAACGATGTGGTTTGAAGTGGTTCTTAACTCTCATAGGCATCAGAACCACTTGGGAATGGGCCAAAGCCTGAGTCCATTCCAGGTCAATTACATAAGAACCTCTGAAGGTAAGTTCCCAGGCACAGTGTTTTCTGAAAACTCCCCAGGTGATTCGAAAGTATAACCAGGCTTGACAGTCACTGTCCTTCTAGCCAGAGTGATAAGCAAGTGGTGCCTCCTACTGACATTCTCAGGCTAGTGTGTCACCAACACAGAATTAAAGTAAATGAACAAACCAACAAAATTATAGTTCATGTTCACTGCAATGAACCAGCACAGCAGAAGCAAAAGCTTCACATCCCCAAGACGGGCACTTGCATTAGCAGGACCCAGACACAGCAATGGGTGATTTATGTGGCAGAAATCTAATGCGTCCCAGAGTCAATGTACTTCAGACATAACACTGACCTAAGTCCTAAATCAAAGACAGCACAAAATCAGGGAACAAAACAGAAACCCTGACCTACCCATACATACCCCAATCCCCCATTTTCCACCCCAGCGAGAGAAAGCATATCCAACCACAAACAAAACATGTAGTGGTTGAAAGAAGGAAAAGTGTGGAAGGGATGAAGGCCATTAAAGTATTATACGAAGTTGAAAGGAAGGAAGAAAGGGAAGTAGCGTGGGAGGGAGGGAAGGAGAAAGATTTTGCATGTAACCCAGAGTATTCCTTTTTTTATTTCATATCACGTACCTTTACAAAAACAGAATTTGCCAGCCAGGATCCGAGCATGGGCTATGCTGTTTGGCATCCCTGTCCCTGCAGTGAGGGCCACGGCTGGAGGCCCAAAGACGAGCTGGACAATTACATGGGGTGAACTGTGTGGCTGCAGGAAGAGCCAGGCCCTGCCCGCCCCCTAGGCCAGCTTTCCCAGTCAGGGCCTCAGGTGCCCACTTGGTCAGCCCCGTGTGAAGATGCTGTGGGCCTCCTAACCTTCCCTGCCTCTCTCCGAAGTGCAGCTCCAGCACTTTTCACCCTGATCTTTCCGTACCAGACTCAGACCGAGGACCACGTACAGTGAAGAGTATTGGTCACTAGGGTGTAATTTGATGACGTTCCTTCTTAGCGAGAATCCTCGGTATAATACTGCCTGCTTCCCCAGCATAAATCGTCACACTAGGCGTCCTCAGTGTTTGGTTATTGTAGACCTGACCTTTCTGGGGTTTGTCGCCTGCCTCACAGTGTCCTTTTTGCAGGTCAGAGGTAAAGAGAGGTTCATTTCTTATCAGAGATTAAAGATGCCCCATCAGTGATATAAATTCAAAATCAAAAACTCTGAATACAAACATCAGATAAACTTCGCCAGCCCTGACTCTGTGATAAATACACCGCAGTAGTCGGCCACCCTCGGTGGCACAGGTGCATCCTGGGGAAAGCTAGACCACAGCAATCACAGTGATTAGCAGTAGTATAGCTGTAGGTGTCGTGGCCCGACTCAGTAACAAGAATAACACTAACAAGGCTGCTTTGTTTTGCTCACATAAACCACCGTCAACAAAGCGAGTAATTAATTTTAGTAAATTACACGCTCGTCCCTGGTATCTCCAAATCCAGAGTCAGCTGGGTCATATAATACTAATCATGGCAATAACTGCCATGTATCAGGTGCTTACTATATTCAAATGCCAAGCTAAAGTGTTACAGACTTTATCTCCTTTCATCTTCAAAATAAGCCAAGGGGTAAGTATCATCATTACCTTTTACAGATGATGAAGCTGAGGCTGACAGATGTAAAGTAACTTACCAGGGTCCTCGCGGTGGCTTGAGTCAACCCAGATGGGCCACAGCTCGGTCTTGAGGGACCCCGTCCCTAAACACCATTCGTCTGCAGAGAGAATGAAAGGACTGAGTGTGGGGTGTGCAGGCTGACTTCCAGCCTCCTTCTTCCACCTGTCTGGGCCTGTACAGGGTTCCATGTCTCCGAACCTGTTTCCTCATGGGAAAATGAGGTCAGTCCTCCCTGTGCCTGTGTCACCAAGTGATTGCAGCACCTGGATGAAAACGACGGGCTCTGAGGGAGGTCCCCGTCTGTCTTGCACCCTCAGCATTTCACACTCAATAGCTGTTTACCGAAGTGGCATCCGAACGTGCTTGGAGAGCAGTGGTGCACCGTTGGAGCACGAAGGTGTGAGATCCAGGGAGCTGCAGCCCAGGGCACCTTCAGTGAGGGAAGCTCTGCTGCTCCGGCCTCCCTGATGGCTTGTGAGTTCACTCCTATGGCGCATAAACCTCTGGCCTCCAAACAGTACGAGTGAACACCCCTCCAGTCTACAGACCGCAGCAGGGGACCATTCGGGCGCTGACCAGACACGTCCTGGAGAACGGTGCAGGTGCGCCAGGTTTATGACGAAGGCCTAGTCTGTGTCCCCAGCCCCTTTTAGACACACCTCCCATCCCCATGCCCTGCATGGTGATCTCTTCACTGGGTTGTCAGGAACGGCATGCCAGTATTTCTCCGCAGCAGAGATTTGCTCAGACACAGAAACACGAGAACACATTTCCCCTCAGAGACAAAAGCCCTAGAAGCAGAGGTGCAACTCATGGGAACGAGTACACCCCAGCGGGGGGACACAGGCCAGCACAGACCAGCCCAGTCCAGCAGACGGGAATATGAAGTGCAGAGCACGCGCGTGCGCCCTGGACCGCTGTGCAGAGCACACGCGCATGCGCCCTGGAGCGTGGACAGCTCCACGAAATCAGCTCCAGCCTGTCATGTCTACACCGGGAGAACAGGCCTCCCTCAGAGGTCTGCTCAGCACCACCCCTTCTCTCCACAGCAACTCAGGTCTGCCCATCCACAGGGATCACCCCCGCCCCATCCTCCATCAGGTCTAGAGAGCTGAGAGGACAGGGCAAAACACGAGACAGAGAAACACAATAGACGTGCCCACAGCCGGAGCACGCGTACCCGCCCATCACAAAACACAGGCGCCCTGTCCCCAGGGTCCAACCCCCATTCTAAAAACACCTCCTCATTTCCCTGTCTCTGAAACGGAAGTGGGGCTGGGGCAGAGGGCCGGGCCACCTGGCTTTATACCTAGTCTCCTAAAAAGCCCAGAGGAGGCCCAAGAAGGCCTCAGAAAGAGAGAGGGTGTCATCGTGGAGCTGACTGGGAACAGATCATCTATGAGGGATGATGCCAGGAGGGCAGAGGGGAAGACAATGTGCCACAGAGTCTAGTCTGCCCCATCTGCTCAGCGCTGTTCTGTCCATGGCAGGCACCAAAGAGCCCATCAGCTCCTGCCACGCAGACCCGTGTGGGACCAGGGGCCTAGAGAAGCCTGTAGAGAGAGGGAGGACCAGGCCCACTGTCTGGGGTGTGCAGAGGGTCCGCACAGGCCCAGCGCAAAAGGCAGAAAGCCCATGACTCTTTGAGCTTGGCTTTGAGATCTAAGAATCTGCCGTCTGTGGCATTGAGCCTCTGAAAATACGAGGATGGAGAGGATGTCGCGGCTGCCCTCGGAGTTCTCACATGTGGCCAAGCGATAGGCTTCCTAGCTGAATATGAAGTCAGAAAGGCAAACTGAGGCTGAACTGGGGAGGGCTTCATGTGCCAAGCCAACATACATAGATAATGTCTCTACATTTGTGACCCCCTAGAGTTTGTCAGTTGCAAAAGATGATCCAGAGGGTGAAGGAAGGAAATATTAAATTTTCTATGTATTAATTTCATATGATTAAATGCCAAATAATTAGGCTTTAGGAATATTCCCTCTAAGCCAGTGGTTCTCAATCTTCCTAACGCGACCCTTCAGTACAGTTCCTCATGTTGTGTGTGGGCGTGTCTGCAAGTGGACGGACCGCCTGGAGACGATAGAGGAGCCATGTCTCAGTTCCTAAGACCATCGGAAATATGTGTTTTCCAATGATCTTAGGTGACCCCTATAAAAGGGTCAGTCGACCCCCAAAGGGATCGCGACCCACAGGTTGAGAACCGCTGCTCTAAGCAATGACTTCCATACCTTCACTTGGTCCACTCATCAGTGCTCACAAGTCATCGAGGGTCTTGAGGGATCCTTGGGGAAGAGGGGACACTGGGTGACAGTGGCAACTTCACTTCTGGGCTCTCTCTCAGCACCATGTCACCCACTGTAGACGAGTTGTCAGTGGAACTGTAGAGTGGATCTAGTTTTGTTGTTGTTGTTAGTCCTCACCCAGTGACATTTCTCCAGTGATTCCTAGATAGAGTGGAAAGGAGGGAGGGAGGAAGAGAAAGAGAAACATCCATGTAAGAAAGACACATCAGTTGGCTGCCTCCCACATGACCCTGACCTGGGCCAGGGATTGAACCTGCAACCCACGTATGTGCCCTTGACCAGGAATTGAATCCATGACCCCTTGGTCAGAGGGCTGGAACTCTAACCACTGAGCAACACTGGCCAAGGTTAGATCTAGTTTTTAACTAAACTAACCATCCCAAAAATGAGCAAGAGGCTTAAATTAAAAAAAAAAAAAGACAAGGCTTGAAGTAACAATGCAAGACAGTGAACAACAAGAGAAGGACAGACCCGACAAGTTCTCAGTCAGCCACATTACAAGGGGAAACAATGACAGTATAATCAGATCTCCCGAGTCAGCCAAAAAGTTTTTAAATCACCAAGGAGACTATTTGAAGTGTCGCTTTACATTAACGGTTGCGTAAATGGTGCCTGAGATATTAGCTGACAACAGTAATGCAACTGTCGCAATTAACAAGACATTTTAAAATAGCGTGTATATCCATTATCTTTACCATGTCTTTTCTGAGTGGTTGCGCATACTTTATAACAAGCAGAATATAGCGGTACTGTAATGAGTGTGTAAAATTACAAATGAATGAGCGCTTCTGTGGGGGGTGCACGCTCAACACTTTTCACTGCTAACAGTGAAAGCCACAGCCCGAAACAATGCAACCCAAAGCTGGCCAAGATCCCCATGGAGAACTCCCTGCACTTCCCAAGAACTTCTTTGCTCAGCAACAAGAGGAAAAAATCAAAAAAGGGAGGCTGGGCATTGTATCTTTCTAACTCTGTCAAAGACCCAAAGCGTAAGACCTACCCGTTGGACCAGACTGCTTCTTCCTGGCTGTGGCCACGTGCCAGAGAGGAAACAGACCCCACTAAACTCAACTCCACGACTCAGAGATTCAGGGCGATCCGTATCAGTGCCACACGCAAAATAAAGGAGGTGTGCTAAGTGCTTTTATTTCAATGCCAATTCTTTATCTTAATATGTACTTGAAGAAGACTAATTTTCTGTTGATGATAGTTTTCTTTTAAAATCAATTTGAGTTCTATATGAGTGGATGTTAAAATATTAAGCAAATAATTTAGCTGGAGTGTAGATTCGTATGTCAAAATTGGAGAGGTGGGAAGTAAATGATGTAAGTTAGATGACCTTTATGTAGTGCCCAGGTCTGAAACTATGATTATTCTTTTTTTTTTTTTTTAACGAAAGCAAAATTTATTTGTAAAATAGACAGACTCCCGGTAGAGGGGAGGGGACCTAAGTGGGTTGCCCTGAAACTATGATTACTCTTATTTCAAACAGATCTAAACTAAAATATCATAAAGCCCTTACAGCAAATAGGACTTAGACAAGTATGTTTCAGTTCCGGTTTTGCCTCGTGTCTTAGTCCATTCAGGCTTCTGAACAAAAACACCACAGACCGGGCTTAAACAACAAACCCTTCTCTCTCCCAGTCTGGAGGCTGGAGGGTCCAAGATCAAGGTTCCAGCAGACTCAGGGTCTGGTGAGGGCTCCCCCTCCTGAACCAATCACCTCCCAAAGGCCCCCACCTCCAAATACCATCACATTTCGGGTTATGGCTCAGCATATACATTTGGGGGACACAAGCATCCAGTCCATAGCACCTGGTCTCTGATTCCTGATTTAAGACGAAAGAATGCAAATCAAAGGGTGACAGGTAGGGTGGCTCTCTGCGGTGACAGCTTCTGCTACTTGGAGGCCAGCCCCTGACCTCTGAGCCCGAGACCCCCACAGGCCCCTCCTGGGAATTCCTACACTCCCTGGGCAGTTTTTTGTTTCTTTTTTCAGAAGAGTATAGGATGCGGGGAGCAGGGGGGGCACCGGTTCGTTTGTCGTTTCCACAAAGAACAGTGCTCTGCTCTGCCGCTGTGGAATCTAACTACTATGGAAAGAAATGAGCAAACCCCAGGAAAGAGAGTGATGAGCAAACAGACTAATAACAGAGTGAGTTTGAGGGCCTGTCCCTCACCCAGGCTCCATCTGCAGGCAGAACTATGCGGATTTGGTGCCCCCTGCTGTCCCTTTCCTGCCTGTGTCTGTGTTCTGTGATCCCAGTGTCCTCTGTCCTGTGTTCCCTGTGTTGTGTTTCCTATGTTCCCCGTGTCCTGTGTTTTCTGTGTCCTATATCTCGTGTCCCCTGTGTTCTGTGTTCCCTGTCTCCTGTGTTTCCTATGTTCCCACTATGGTGGGCAGGAAGGGTCCCTAAAAATGAGCATTTAACAGTGGAGAGGACACAATGTTTCAAAAATGCACCTGAAATATCAACACCATAAAATCCATGATTGCTAAGAAAATCAAGTGCAGTGAGGTGGCTCAGCATCCCCGCCCACCACCCCAGAGTTACTGTGCGCCCTGCAGAGGTGACACAGGACCTGGGCAGTGTTCTCAGCTAGACCTGCCCCAGAGTTACCTGGTGTACTGGGAACATAATTATTTCTGTGCCAGCCCTTGCGTGGATCTGAGCTGAGGCTGGGAGCAGGGTGGGAATGCAGGCATCACAGGACAATCATTTCTTTCTTTTTTTTTTTTTTTTTTGGTATGTGCCCTTCGCGGGAACCGAACCGGGACTCTCTGGTCCACAGGCCGATGTTCCAACTGCTGAGCCAAACTGGCCAGGGCAGGACAATCATTTCTTGAAGAAACAATAAGTTTCCACACTGAGTGAGGACGCACTGCAAATCATACAACGGGTACTAATACGGGCTAAGGGCAGGACCCCTGCCCTCAAAGGGCAAAGAGAAGAGAGATTAAAAACGCAAACAGTTAAATAATATTAGTTACCATTTATTGAGCCAGCCACCTTGTCATTGTCTCCAGTGTGAACAATGACATTATAAGCAAATCGTTGCCAGGTTACATGTGGGGAAACTGAGGCTCAAAGAAGCCAGGACACAGGCCAGAAGCGGTCGAGGCGGGTCTCAAACCCAGGTCCTCCGGACTCCAAACCCCATGTTCTGTGCACTCACATCCTCCTATGGCTTGGTCCTGGTACATATGGGGAGAAACTATCGCCACCCACGCGGGCACACACGGACAGGGAGGGTGCTTGTCCACGACCGTGTCACCTCTGGGGCTAGAGGAATGCAAATGGATGGGGTGGGGGATATACAAATGTTTTATTCTTTTTATTTTAAAAACAAACAAGTTTTAAAACCCACATATAACTCAAGGTGTGTTGTTAGATAAAAATAGTTTACACACTAATAAAAATTGTTCATTGCAAAAAATTTCAATATTTGTTTATTCCAATTGGTGGGTACATGGTTATTTATATCGGTACAGCTCCATAATTTTAAAAAAATTTTCCTAAGAATATTTTGAAAGAAGAAGGAAAGAACCTGGAAGAAAATAAGAATCTTCCAAGAGTCTGCATCTGAAATCATGAAACCACTCTACCCTCTCAGCAACCACACATGAGCGCCACTGCAAAACCACAGGCTCAATCCGCATGAAGAAAATCCAGCTATTTACCCAGCGGCTTTTGTCTGGGGACCTCTGAGCACTTCACCAACACAAATTAATTGCACCTCCTGTCACCTTCTAAAAGACGGAGGAGTATTTTACAGATTAAGCAGAGTCTGGGGAAAACTAAGTGTCTGGTCTAACATCACACCATGAGTTACAGACTGAACAGGGACTAGGGATTTAGAGACTTGACAAGCAGCCCTGTGGCCCAACCACAACTGGATAAAGACTAACCCCGCAGCATCAGCCACCCCATTCCGTCCCTGAACTATTATAATGCACCATGCCTTTAAGGAGCAGCCCCGACAGAGAGGTCAGCCTCCCCTTCCGCAAGTTAAGCCTCATCTGAAAATATCCTTCCACACATAAATAGCGAGCTTTTTCAGGGACAACCCAAACCACATCCTCTGGCTTTCACTGTACACATCCAACCAGGCATTTTTAAGCGCTGGGCCTATGGTGGGATGAAACAGCTCTCCTTTTCCTTCTCCCCTTTCCCCTTCTCTCAGCAGACGAGCCCTGGGGGACAGGGAAGCCTTGTCATCTCGCACCTCGAGTCCTAGCCTCTGACTGTCCTCTGGCTCCCGGCTGCTGATGGTGACCTTCTAAAACCAGATCGGACCCTGCCTGGCCCCCACTGAAAACCCCCCGCCTCCGCACCAGCGGAGGGTGAAGCCTCCTCTGCATGGCCCATGTGGCCACTCGGCTCCCACTGAGCCCTCCAGCCTCCCTCACCTCTTCGCCCTTTCCAAAGCTAGTCCCTCGAGGGGCGATGCCTCATGGAACATCCGTAGACATCCGAGTCGGCCACGAGGAAGGGGTCCAGAGTTCAGCTGTCAAGTTTAAACGAGGCCGAAGGAGAAAGGTGGGCAAGCAGCAAAGCCTACAGAGTTCCGAACTGCGGGGGCCGTGAGAAGTGCACTTGGAAAAGCAAGGCCTGAGGCCCGGAGGCTAGTGGCTGCATTGGCTTCTCCGTGCTTCCTGCGGCCAAGTGCAGAAAAGCATCCAGGAGGAGACAGCGCCACCTCCACAGGTCCCCTTTCCCAGGTGAGGTGGCCTGGGCTTCTCTGGGTTTGCCACCAGAAGACACAGGCACCGAAGCTCTGAGGATGCAACGAGGCCTCAGGATGCTCCTCGGGCCTGGAGGCCAGGCTGAGGCACTGCAATGACTCCAGCACTCGGAGGCTCCTGCGTGTGGGCGGCACAGTCGTGCCAAGAGCCTGAGCTTTGGGTCCATCTTGTGGCCAAGAGGGAGTCATGGAGCTCTCCCCTGGGGAATAACACGGTCACAGGGGTTTGTAGGAAGACCTCTCTGGCAGCTGTGGGGGGACAGAGAGATGGTGACAGGAGTTTGAGGGGAGATGACAAGAGCCTGGCAGTGGCCGGGAGCGTGAGTCAGAGAGAGGGGCTGTATGTCGTGGAGCGCTGGCTCTCAGGGGACACACGGAGCCAGGGCTGGCAGGGGAGGTGCGGGGAACACTCACAGCCCAGAAACCAGCAGTGATCAAATTATTTACACCAGGTTTGCCCAGGAGTAGACAGTATGGTCTCCCTGCTCTTTGAGTATCTGATACATTTTACCTCTAGTTTTTGCTCAAATGCCTTGTTCTACTGTCGGAAGTTACTTTACGATAAAAATCTTTTTTTTTTTTCTCTCGTGCTAAGTGAAATAAGACAGATGGAAGTGTTGTGGCGGGAGAGGACTGAGAGGCCACCAGAGCCAAATTAGAGCCAAATAGAGAGCAAAGCCAGCCGGTGACTGATCCCCAATTCTCGGAGCCCAGCCCTGGGGCCTCCAAATGTTGTGGGGCGACAGAGTCAAAGAAAGACCTCTAGAGAATTCAAGTCCAAATAAGATCCTTTATTAGCCGGCCGGCGTCTGATCCCGAACACCCCGTGACAGAGTCTTCGGAACCAGCCCATATGCTTTATTATGTGCCTTTTACACCTCACAGCAAGAGGATCTTCTTGACATAATGCCCAGGGCTACAACAATGCTGTACAGAATTAGTTTGCCTTTCGGATAACAGGCACACCCAGGTATTTCAGGTATTTCAAGGTACATTGGGTCACACTTAGCCCTGAGCTGCACAAACACAACACAAGCCTAATTCCTTGAGATTGTGGGGGAGGTCGAGTCTCTGACTCAAGACCTCCAGGCTCTGTGGACTCTGTCAGACACACAGCCGGCTTCCAACAATTTCTTGGTTCAGGGAGTGTTCCAATTTACTGAGGTTATTTTGACTAAAGAGGTTCAGCCAGGGGGCATACAGTGACTTTCCCAATCATCAATTATGGAGCAGCACAGTAATTTACCAATCGTCAGTTACGGGGTTATAAACATGCCAGCACAGAAGAAGTCAAGAACCATATGATTTCACTCATGAGTGGGATATAAAAGTGAAAGCAACAAACAATAAAAACAAGACAAACAAAACTTCATAGACAAGACAACAGTATGGTGGATGCTGGGGGGAGAGCGAAGGTAAAGGAGGGGGCAGAGTGACTAATATATGGTGACAAGAGGGGACTTGACTTTGGGTGGTGAACACACAGGGCACTATACAGATGATGTATCATAGAATTGTACACTTGAAACCTATATAATTGTATTAACTAATGTTACCCCAATAAATTTAATAATTTTTTTTAAAAGAATCTATATCAAGTGCCTGGAACACCTCAAGCATTCAGTAAATGGTATTATTAATATTTCTCCTCATTTTTCCAATTTAAGTAATTAACATTTCATACATAATTCCTCAAATCACAGGACGCCTTAAAGCCTAGTTAAAGAAGGAAACCACTGTCAGCCGGTCCTGGTTACTCCAGTAGCCTTTGACCATGTGAGGTAACTAGACCAATCCTGTGCAGTTACTCAGTATAGAACCAGAAATCCCACAGCAATCTGATTTTGAGAATCCCTGATGTCTGGAGCTGGGCTACGCACAGCCAGTTTTGATGAATGGCTTTTGTGTGGGAGAACCCCATCAGCCCATGGCCTTTTAAAGTCCTCAGTGCCCACTGAATGGGGAAAACCTTGGAATCTACGGGGCCGAATGAGTTCTATTGGCATCAAAGCTGCAAACTCTTAGGGAACATGTAGATGGTCAGAGGGCAAAATGCAGAGGCGAAGACTCTAGGCAAAATCTAAACTCTCTCCACAGAATGGACCACTGTGCAGCAATAAAAATTAATGAAGCACTGAAACATGCCACAACATGCATAAACCATGAAAATTTGTGCTAAACAAGCCAGTCACAGAAGGACAAATATTGTCTGATCCCATTTACATGAAATATCCAGAATAGGTAAATGTATATAGAAACTAGATTAGCGGTTGAGTAGGACTCAGGGAGATTGGGGTTAGGGAGTAATAGCTAATGGGTACAAGGTTTCTTTTGAAAATGTTCTAAAGGTAGATTGTAATGATGATTGCACAACCCTGTGGCTATGATAAAAATCTTGAATTGTATACTTTAAATGGGTAAAGTATGGTATATGAATTATATCTCAATAAAAAGCTATTTTTAAAATCTAACTCATTCACTGATTAGTGGATCTGTTATCTTTCTTGCCTGGAGAAATATCCTCTCCATTAAAAACAAAAAGGAGCCCTGGCCAGTCTGACTCAGCAGTTAGAGCTTTGGTCCTGAGGGTCGTGAGTTTGACTGTGGGTCAAGGAAACATACCTGGGATGCAGGTTCGATCCCCACCCCATCCCAGTCCCAATCCCCACCCCATCACCTCCAGGTTGGGGTCCTGGGGAAGGCAACCAATCCATGTGTCTCTTTCATTGGGTCTCTCTCTCTCTCTCTCCCTCCCCCGCCCCCCGACCCCATCCCTCCCTTCTACTTATCTAAAAATTCATGGGAAAATATCCTCAGGTGAAGATTAACAACAAAATATGAAAAAGAAGAGCTCAGAGTGTTGTCTTGGATTTAAAACTCTAAAATATCTTGGCTTTGGAAGTATGCTTACCTTGCCTTTGCATCTGTCATCTCCCCGTTATTCCAAGTATCAATCGTGTTGGATGAACTCTGATGAATGCAAGGATGTAACTATGCTCAAACTAAATCCTACAGATTAGTACATTCTTTATGGCTCCACAGCAATGACTGTTCTCTGTTTAGTACAAACTGATCACCTTGATAGCAATCTTCTTCTGAGTACTTGCCACCGTGACTTGCAGATAACTGCAGCTCCACTTTACAGGATCTCTTTGTTCTCCTAGGAAATACAGGAAGTATGGCATCACAGTGACAGGCAAAATCCATCTAAATTGGCTAAATCTATCTGCTAGGGATCTCATGACATCAGTGTTACTCACTTGAGCGGGAATGTTATAGGTGCAAACTAGAGAAGAGATGATCTTGCTCTTGATTAGGAGATGAAGGAGATAAATTGGAGTATGGACCAGCTAATGGACGATGGTCTTAAAAACCTAACTAGACTAAGGAATTTGTAGTCTGGAATATTCTTACTGATTGCAAAGCAAACCTGTATTTCAAGGGTTTTCCAAGCATTTTTTTTTAACATCTTATTTTATTTTTTATCCTCACCCGAGGACATTTTTGCATTTATCTTCAGATAGAGCGGGAGGGAGAGAGGGGGGAAGAGAGAGAGAAACATTGATGTGAGAGAGACACATCGAGTGGTTGCCACCACATGACCCCAACTGAGGCTGGGGACAAACTGCAACCGAGGTACGTGCCCCTAGCGGGAATCGAACCCGGGACAATCTGGTCTGCCGGCCAATGCTCTAACCACTGAGTAAAGCCAACCAGGGCCCAAGCTTTTGTTTTTAAGTCTAGAAGAGCTTATATCTGATCTATGTGCCAGTTTACTGTGGGAAAAGACAGAAAAATGCTTCTCAGATTCTAAAATCTGAGGAGAAATTAAACATAGTCACATGAAGAGACTTAAGAATAACAAGAGTAAAAATATACTATAGCCTGGCCTGTGTGGCTAAGTGGTTGAGTGTCGACCCATGCACCAAGAGGTCCCGGGTTCGATTCCTGGCAGAACACATGCCCATGTTTTGGGCCAAATTCCCAGTGAGGGGTGTGCAAGAGGCAGCCAATAGATGTTCTCTCTCCTCAATGTTTCTATCGCTCTCTCCCTCTCTCTTCCTCTCTCTCTAAAATCAATTTAAAAAAAATTTTTTTTAAATATACTATCAACTCAATGCACATTACTGTATAATACTTAAAATATTTCATTGGTTATGGAGAGGAAGATGTTAAATGAACATTAGTACTAGAAAGTAGGTAATGCCTCCCTAATACTGCCTGCTACTTGCTTTTATTCGAGGAAGGGTGCACAGATCTAAGTAGGCAATTCTATAGGTGAGAAAACTTATTGGTACTATTTATATACAAAAATTAATTCTAAACTCCTAATCTTGGCTGAACGAATTACCCATTTCAAATCACAATTTAACCCTATTTATTTAAGTGTTATCTCTACTGGTTTATTTTTCAAATTATTTAAGTTCACCCCTCCAACTGATACAAAGAACCTGTTTCTACTCTTTTTTTATTATTATTATTATTATTTTTTTTTTATCCTCACCCGAGGACATTTTTCCATTTTTTGTTCAGGTAGAGTGGGAGGGAGAGAGAGGAACAGAGAGAGAGAGAGAAACATCGATGTGAAAGGAACACATCGAGTGGCTGCCACCTGCACGACCGACCAGGGCCAGGGACACTGCAACCGAGGTACGTGCCCTTAGCGGGAACCGAACCCGGGTCTCTCAGGACCGTAGGCCGACGCTCTAACCGCTGAGCCAAACCGGCCAGGGCTCTACTCTTTTTTTTTTTTAATCCTCATCTGAGGATATTTTTCTATTTATCTTCAGACAGAGTGGGAGGGAGAGAAAGGGAGAGACAGAGAAACATCGCCATGAGAGGGACACATAGACTGGTTGCCTTCCGCACGACCCTGACCAGGGCCGGGGATGAAATGCAACCAAGGTACGTGCCCTTGGCCAGAATCGAACCCACAACTCATTGGTTCACGGGCCGACGTTCTACCGCTGAGCCAAACCACCCAAGGCCCTGTTTCTACTCTTAACTTACAAATAACTTGATCATTTCTTCTGCTTAAGTACTTTATTTTTTTTTTTTCTTTATTGATGATAGAGAGAGAGGAAGGGAGAGGGAGAGAGAGAACATCGACTGGCTGCTTCCTGCATGCCCCCCATTGGGGATCGGGCCCACAACCTGGGCATATGCCCTGACCGGGAATTGATCTGGCGACCTCTTGGTACATGGGTCCACACTCAACCACTGAGCCACACCGGCCAGGTTGCTTAAGTACTTTATTTTTTCTTTTTTATCCTCACCTGAGGATATTTTTGCATTTATCTTCAGATAGAGCAGGAGGGAAAGAAGGAGGAAGAGGGAGAGAGAAACATTGATTGGCTGCCACCCGCACAACCCCAACCGCGGCGGGGATGAACTGCAACCGAGTTACGTGCCCTTAGCAGGAACTGAACCCGAGACTCAATGGTCCGCAGGCCGATGCTCTAATCGCTGAGCCAAACCGGCCAGGGCTTAAGTACTTTAAAAAGAGATTTTTTCCAACCATCCAGGGTAAACTCAACTCAATAATTCACTTTATCACACTATGATCCTCTCTGCCATATTCCAGTGTTCTAGTTCAAATTTCATTTCTAAATCTTTCTGACATTTCCCTTAATTTATCAAAAATCCTTCCTCTGGGATCAGATCTTTTCAATACAAATATTACTTGACTTTTACCATGGACTCATATAGATGACTTAGGCCATTTGCGTTATTAGCCCCTAGGATCAATTTTAGATATATTTTTAAAAAGCTATTGACATGGCCCAGCCAGTGTGGCTCCATGGATTGAGCATCATCCCATGGACCACGGTAAAAATCTTTATCTTCAAACTTCCAGGGTCTAATACTGTACCTCACATATAGTAAGTGATTAATAAATAAGGTCCATAAGGTCTCACTGGCTCGTGTACAGGGGAATACATATATACAATTAGGAGGAGAAGCGGGATGGTAGACTTAGGCCCTTTTTTAAAGGAAGTTACATTAAGAGTATACAGTTATTTGTGTATTTGATACTGTAAGTAGTGGGGAGTCACTGAAGTTGTATGAGAGGAGAGTAATCTGATCAGAGATATGCCTACAAAAACTAAACTAGCAAAGATGTGTTTAATGGGTTAGAGCAGGAAGGAATTGGAAGTGAGAGCAATCAGAAAGCTATAGCAATATTTTATCATAAAGATGTCCTACAGAGAATGTCACTAATTGTCCATGGCCCCATTCTACAGCGTGCAAGGTAAGTCACTACCCATTCCATTGAAAATCACATCTCAGGAGTTCCAATTGAGACAGACACAAATACCGTGTAAGAGCCAACTGGTTTGTTCAAATATTTGCTTTTGCTGGGAAAGCCTGCTCCTTCAAATGCCAAAAGCATTTACAACTTTCCCAAGTCTGAGCCTGTGCCATGTTGTAAGTTTGAACAGGCCCACATCTGGCTTTAATGACCATCGCCCAAAAAGGAACATATCTGGAGAACTGGAAAGGAAGGAAAAGCTTGTGTTTGGGGGAATGGGAGAAGAATATGTTTTATCTCAAATAATCTAGCTTCTAGTTTATAAAACTCTCCATTGCCAAACACATTTCAGGCCTGGATTCTCACAGTCCTTACATATAATGGAAAATTGGGACCTAAATGGAAATGCCTCTTGTTTGTTACTCGGGTGTGGCAGATGGCTCTCTCCTGATACTCAGGCAAATGGGCTTTGCTTGCAGAGAGAAAAGCCTATAAAACAATGAAGAGTTGTCCAGGAATGCCTAACTCTCGCACAGGCATCCAACATGTATAGCAGGTCCTCAAATAACGTCGTTTTGTTCAACGTCATTTGATTATAACGTTGATAAGATGTCATAGGAACTTAACTCGTGTTTATATCAATTACCCAAGAGTGAAATTGGTTTCGTTATACATCATTTCACTTAAAGCTGCAGAACCTATGCATAACGTTAAGGACTTACTGTATATAAAATGAAAACAGCATCCCTGAGCAGGGACCGTGCATGGCAACTGTCCCTAAATGTGACTGAATATAATCAGTTTAATGAGAAGTCTCAACTCGTAAGGTATAAACATAAACTGGTCTCTTGTACTAATAAGCCTATGAGATTTCTGCAGTTCAGTAAAAATCCAGCTGGGAAACCAGATGCCAGGTACTCCTGTCTTATGGACACCCTTGATAACAAAACAGGGACGGGGAAGGAGAGGAAATTTGGGTGTTTAAAATGTGTTCTACTCAAAGCCTTTTGATTTAATTATGGGCCCTAGTTGACAACTCAGGCTGTAGTATCTAACATCATAGAGAGAAAAAGGAGAGAAAGATCAAACACATATGTATATTTGACAAACACTTACATAGAATTTATTATACTCCAGCCACTATTTTAATCACTTTTGAATTATTAATTCATTGACTTTAATGCTCATAACAAACCCAGAAGACATATACTATTATTATCCTTATTTACAAATGAGAAAAGTGAAGCACTATACTTAACCTGCCCAGGATCACCCAATCTGTCTGGACCCAAATTCTGTGTCTTAATGGTAATACCTGGCCTCTTACATGCCTCTTTTCTGGATCGCCCCAATTCTCTACTTGAGTTCTTTTGTCTGGGATGGTGAACGACACTTGATATGTTTTGAGAATTGGTGCATATCTTGTTTTAGGAATAAAAGTATTTGTTGAGAATTAAAATGTGATCATTTTCTCCCCAGTCCAATGCTAGGCACAGTCTGATTACTTAATACGTGTAGAATTCCAATGTAGAAAAGGGTTTCATGTAAGAACATTCCCCAAGGGTGGCTGCTAGACACGGTGGCTTGCTGGGTCCCCTTCCGTTCTGGCATTACCCTAGAAAGGCTAAAGCAGGTCTAACTTCAGGAAAGGCCTAGAAGAAGGGCCAAGGCAATTCATCCTTCCCCGGTGCAAACGCCCAAGGAGCAATGTGGACTGACACTCAGTGCACCCCGCAGCAGTGTCCACGGCTGCCGCAGACCCTCGGCCACTGGGGCCAGGAGGAGGGTGTCACAGAGCAGAAGCCATGCCTGGAGGGGGGATGTGCTAGCTTCAGACCTCTGCCCGAAGGGTTTCACATCCTGCTGCTCTTGGACAAAGAGGAGCAGCTGTGCGTGGAGGGA